CAACCAATCAATCAATCAATCAATCAATCAATCAATCAATCAATCAATCAACCAATCATTCAATCAATCAACCAATGAATCAATCAATCAATTTATTTATTTTTTTAGCCCCGGGACCAAAAAAAAAAAATCTTTTTTTTTTGTTTTTTTTTGAATGGGGGGGTACCCCCTGAGACCCAACCCCCCCCCAAGCCCATCCAACCCCTCAACACCCCCCCGGAAGGCCACGTACGGAGGGCCCAAAGTTCGTACGTGCAGTGTCGTTGGGCGCGGTGTCCCGGCCCTCCTCTGCGTACCAAGTCTCTGCTTGGTACCGGTCCCGTGCTCCGACGTTACGGGCTGTAGGCGAACCCTCATACTTCTATGACCCCTAGTACCCGGGTTATGCTCGACGTGGACTGGTCCTATTGGTACATGCCTCAGCAAAAGGAGAGGGTGCGCCACAGGACTTTCCGTTGGTCCACGCAGGCTCGGCGCCCTCCTGTACAGCAGAGCACTACCGGCCTGTGGCCGTGGTGGCTGCCGGGTTCGCCCTGGGACACGAAGGTGGAGGGACCGGTGCAGTCTTTTCTACTGCGCGCCGAATGCCCGCTAACCAGGTTATGGGTTAGGTGCACGGCAGGGTTCCGCTGTCACTATCGGGCAGAAAAGAAATAAGAAAAAAAAAAAGGGAAAAGAAAGATAAAAAGTGAAGGGAGAGCGTACATCAGATCCGCGCGCTGATCGGAACCTCCATCTTTTGTTTGGGAAAATCTAGCGGCGTCTGGGTAGCAGCGCTATAGATTTCTCCTTTTACTATTTCAAGTCACTATACTTATCACTATTATTAAGCTTTTATAGTTTCTTTTCTGTGCCTGTCGTTTTGCTGGGCCAACGGTTCGATTTTGAACTGTGGCCGTTGTCTGATGACCGAGAATGGCCGACCTTTCGTATATCGCTTGAAACTGAGCTGTCCGGTTAAGTGCTACTAACTGGGACCTCAAAAGGGGTGACCCGCGGCCGCGTTGGTTATCACCCTCCATGGAGAGTCATAATCCCCCTCCTTGCCATCGGACACAGGTATCCAATAGGAGTAGACTGACGTCGTGTTTTGAAGGGAAGGGTGTGTCGTCGGTATCCCGTTATGGAACCTCTGTTCTTCGGACCGTGGTCACATCGCGCTGACAGTAGCTTAGTAAGTTCAGCCAGTGCTCCGACCGTTGAGTTTCGGCCTCTCGTATTTTCTAAACTATTTAGTTTTGTCTTGTTTATATTTTGGAGCGTTAAAACTATTAATGTGAAGAAATTAAAGAATGCCTATTTGAACTTTTCATTTAGAACGCGGGGATCATGGAGAGTGGCGAGCCTATAAAGGGTGAGGCAGATGAGTCTTTGGTTGTGAGCAGGTAGCTGCGAGCAGGCCATTTTTCTGTGCTGACGTTGTCAGCCTGGAAAAAGTGAGTGGGTCTGCTTACACGCGCATTGAGTACCGAGCTGAGTTTTCTGGCTTAGCGACTATATCACGTAGCAATGGCCTTTTTGGCTATAGGCCAAGGCACTTAAAGTTTTACTGGAGCTGGGCGCCTATGCGTGAAGAGGGAGTTACGGTGGATGTCTGTCTGAGTTATAGCAAGAGTGAAGGGCAGGCTAGACTGAGAATCAATGTCTACGGGGGGAAGGAGCAAGAGATGAGGGAAGATGCAAAAATACAGGGTGTGGTCACCGAGGCTCGTAGCAGGGCAGAACGGAGATGCAGACGAGACGGGGTGACTGCGACGTTCCGAGTTACCGTTACTTACCATGAGGAGGAGACCTCCACGAGCACGACAGAGAGGGAGCAACAAGAACTGGACCGGGACTCTGAGGCTGAATCCGAAGCTAGCGAGGACCTGACCCAGTCCTGGCACGGGCTGGAACAGTGGAGGAGAGAGCACCCGCCAGCTGAGTAAGTGGAGGACAGGCCCGAGGTCAGTTCGGCCCAGGGCAGAGCGAGGCCGACAGGGGCTGGACCATCGAGTGCAGGGGCTAGTGGAATGCAGGACTGAACCCGAGGCAGTTACGCGCGTACGCGGGCGACACGTGGAGTGGTCTGGGGAGTGAGAAGAGGTCAACGAAAAGGGAGAGACTCAGGGGGCAAACGAACAGGACGCGAGCTTGCGATGTGGGACTGACGTCAACCACTGTTCCCACGCACGCGCGGCGTTCTTACGCCAGCTGCGGTAATGAGAAGGTGAGAAAGAAGAGGTCCTGTCAGAATGAGAGAGCAGTGGCCATCAAGGGGGAGAATGACTTGCGGGGCATGGTGGAGGTTGCTACTTGGTCCGCTTGCCACGCGCCAAGTACTACCCCTTCCTCGTCTCGGACAGATCAACAGCCCTTCGTTTTGTGCGTGTACTGCAGTCACCAGTTAGCTAGTAGGTGACCAGTGAGAGGCAGGGTTGGTCCCTGCGCAGGCTGAGGGGCGCGCGACAAAGTAACTAGAGGTGCAAAGCGATCACAATCGAGGAAGAGAGGAGAGAATACTCGCATAACTTTCGTGGTTGTCAGCTTGCCCTTGGCACGCTTAAGACATATGAAGAGGTATGCATGAGACTTAGTGGAAGGAGAGAGTCAGTCATGATCAGAGAGAAAAAGCGAGTGATACGAGGCCAGCGTGCAGAAGGAGGGGGAGCCAGTTATCGTTAATTGGGGGCGATGTGTATTCATTGGAGTCAGCCTTGAGCGAAAGAAAGTCAATAAGCTTGCTGATAGAAGGGGTAGCAGTGAACGAGGGCCAGCGCTGGGGGATTGCATGCAAGAAACGAAGAGTGATACGCATCTGACGGGCGAGTTGGTCAAGAGAGGCTGGTAGCAAGCGGACTTTTCTATTGCAATCCATCTCTGTCATGTAATTGAGGGTCAGGACTTGCCTTGGGGTCTTCTCCTCTTTTGCTGAATTTTCACTCGCTAAACTGTTAACCTCCGCAGTCCTCGAGTCATGTCGTGTGTGCGGTCTGTCTGATTCTCGTCGCTTCATACGTAATTCTACCCTGCAGTAGTAAGCTCTTCTCTCTTTTTTTTTTTCTCTGGTTGATGTCAAGATCTGATGTAACAAAGTACGGACAAGTGTGCAAGGGGTAACGAGTGAAGGGCACGCCGTGTGAAAAGGATCTTGAAAAGAGCCAGTATGTAAAAGAAGGGCGGGAGAAAACTAATCCTTTTTCACATTGGTAATCGTTAGTCTGAAAATGACAGAAGTGCCCTGGTGCATGACGTGCAACGAGCCTTCCTTGCTGAATAGAGACAGAGGGGACTCTAGTTCTCATGACAAAATGGGGGTTGATCACCAGCTGTATCTGTAAGCATTGTGACGGGACTAAGCCTTTTACGCTTAGCAGTCGTGCAGGACATCGTGTATGAAAGAACGAGCCAGAACTGTTGGATGGCGTGTCTTAGCAGAGTACTCTGAACCATGCATGATCGCTGCTTGTATCGAATTCGAAGCGTTTACGGCCATGGAGTGAGACATGCTTGGGTTCGGGGTCCTTGCCAGGGAACGCTCTTGGGAGAGTAACTCGATTTCCCTGATGAAAGAAGAAGTAAAGCAGGAAGACAGTCTCGTGAAGGGTTTGAGTTTGAGCTTGGTGCCGTATCAGTAATGATGGATTGTTCTCATTTAAGCTAGCCAGATAAGTAAACCCCATTTTTAGTCTTGCTTCATCTTCTTCTCTTCTTTTCTTTTCCCTCTTTTTCGCCAACTGCTCACTTGGGATCCCTGATGGACTTTTCCTTCGGATATCCTTCTACTGTCATGATCAATGAATCGAAGGTGGTCTGTTTTAGTAAGGATCGCCTACCTGTTAGCCAAATATCTACTTGACGGTGATTGATCTCAGGTTACTTTGGGATGCGTTGCAGAGAGAAAAGGTAGTCAAGAGTGAAGTTAACGAGGCTTCACACGTCTCAGAAGTACGATAACAGAAGATAGACTTTCCTAAAAATTACTGTTTTGTGATCAGACCTCTCTGTTCTTCAACATTGCACTCTATTTCTACTCCTTCCCGTTATATGGTTTCCTGTGCAAGTTTCATGGGCGGTGTTCGGTTTCCTTGCTTGGCGTGGAAAATTGAACTCAGTCGCTCTTAATGCGACAAAAAGCGTGATAAGAGTGGCCTTATGTCGTCCATGAAGTGGGTTTAAGAGGCTACAGTTATCACTGATAGCGTATAAACACTGAGTTGAGTGATTGATTGCCAAGGAAGTAAGCATCGAAGTACAATTTGAGAGAGCATGAAACGTCTTGCCTTCAGAAAAAGATAAAAAGGGAAACACCCCGTGTTGACAGAAAAAAAATTGAAGGTTAACTAAGTACAGTGTATCGGTGTCATCAGAGAAGAGACAACCAAGTTGGTCATTTTGGCTGAGGACTGTCAAGTAAGCCAGGGGTGTGTTCTGGAAATTGTCTGGAGATAGATTGTAACATGGTGCGCAGTCGATCACTAGAAGGCGAATCAATGAAAACCATTTGTGAGTCTTCCTTATTGCATCCAGATTGCGCCCAGACCCCGGAGTGTCGGTAACTAGTGAGACCGAGTTATTGTCTGATAAAGTCTAATCACCTGATGGACCTGCTCACCCCTGGGGACAGATGAACAACACTGGCCAGACCCTGAGTAAGTGCAGATGTACTTGAATCCTGTTACCCAAAGACATGCAAATCAGTGCGACAAAAACGCTCAATTTTCCTTGCTCTCTTTATTTGGCTTTGCACCGCTGAGTGAGCCGGCCTGCTGAGTGTTATGAAGCCGACAAAACCCTCAAATGTTCTACAATAGGTGAATAACACTCAATGCCTTAACGGAGTATTCAGTACTGTGATTTGACGAATCGATGATACCCGGGGAAAACTATCAGAGAATCATGAACAGGGTCATTTGACTCAGTCATTCCTCCCTTCTTCTCAGAAACCAGTTTGACGTTTCATTCCTGCTCCTACGTTTAATCGAGCTTTTGAGTTACTTGGTGTTTGAAAGGGGCTTTTAGCATCAAACGAGGGCCTAATCAGCATTTTGACACTCGAATTATTCGAAGTGCTGAAAATTACCACAAGATTCGGGTGAGAGAGGAGCTATGAGAAAGGAGGAAGTTTTGGTTGTGAAGGGCAGATTGGACAGAGACAAGCAAGACGGATGGGAGGAAGGAAATTGTCGGGTCATGGAATTCTATAGGGAAACCCAATGTGAATAGGCAGTTCGGATGGTGAAAAGGGAAAAATACGTCGAATATGTGATTTATTTCTATGGGCACGATGGTAGACTGCATAGTACCGGCTCCACGCTGGAAAACGTGGCAAGTGCCCGGATGAAACTTTCATGAGCTCAGCAACTCTCAAAAATCAATGTTTTTTTAACCCTGTCTACATCTGAATAACAAGCACTTCAGTTGTTTCGCTGCTCCGCTTTGCAGTACGACAGCTCGTGAATCTACAACTTGGTGCCTTAAAATAATCAGGCTCAATCAACTTTCAACTGATTATCCAATCAACTTTCAATTGATTATCCAATCAGTTTTCAACTGATTATCCAATCAGCTTTCAACTGATTATCCAACCAGCTATCAACTGTTATCCAATTAGCTTTCAATTGTTACTCAATCAGCATTCCGTCAGCAATTCTCAGCAGTCAATCAGTTTTCTGATCAGTAGTTAATCAGTTTTCTGATCAACAGTCAATCAGTTTTCTGACCAGCAGTCAATCAGTTTTCTGATCAGCAGTCAATCAGTTTTCTGATCAGCAGTCAATCTACATTCAGGACAACATTCAGAACAGCATTCAAAAGGCACTTAGGCAGTACTCAAGCAAGCGTCCAAGAACTTGCCAGTCCGTTAGCAGTTGACGCCTATTCGGTGGACAACGGCTGATTTGGCCCGCAGCGGACGTTAGTCAATCAAGCATAGTTTTCTCTTCCTCTGTCAGGGAGTGACTATAAAACCAATCACATGAGAGAGATTAACCCCATTTCAGTCGGGCAGCCTGTCCTCGACAGTCTCAATCGAGTAGCTTCAAGGGAAAGCTTCCCATACAACTATGTTAAGATTGACGGCTTCAAGCGCGAAGATCTGTCAATCTTCGTCGCCGTTACAGAGTTTGCAGGGGGCGATGTCAAGGACTTGCGGGTATATCCGAAGAAGGGAAATGAGACACATCCACACTTTGACGCTGTTTGGGTGGCAGCAGCGAGTTTCGTACAATGGAAAGCTGAGAGACTCAAAGGGGAATTGAGACTGGTCAACAGTTTTGGCCCCAAGCTCTTCACAGACTACCCCAAACCTCCGGTTCCTTACTACTTCACTGACGGATCATGCTGGGGTGACCTTGTATACCTAGCCAAGAGGTACATCTCCCCTGCAGAGATCGACTACGAAGCAGTGACTGAGCCATCCGAATTCCCACATCTCATACGAGGTATCTTCTCTCAGCCATATCTTCCTACACTATGGGAGGAGTTATGTGCCATGGTTGACTTCCGCATCATGGGACTTGGATGGAAATGCTCGGAGCTTGCCGACTTCAGGTGGCTCTATATACAGAGGCCACAACCTCAGAGAGTACGGAGGCATGGCAAGAAGCCCAAACGACAGACAATCGAAATGAGAAATTGAGTGTGAGGTTTAGAGGGATGAGTGAGGACTCTTGATTGGTGTTGGCTATGCTCTCTCCCATATATACTCTCTAAGACTATTACGAGTTCTCATTCTTCCCTCATCCATTTGACTTTGTCATTACTCGAGTCAGTCGGTCTTGCTTCTTGCATTGTTTTGCTTGATGATTGCTCGTGTGGATGATTCTGTCACAGTTCTCAAAATCAAATTGACATAATTGATGCATGCATAGCACTCCACGGTTTTATGATTATTATTTGCATGATTCTCTGTTGTTCCGAATCAAAATAAAAGATTCCTAAGACCGGGGACCGGCGAAGACCGCAACTAAAGGCTCTCGCTCGAAGTCGGATGCACACAACAGGAAGGGATTTGAATTATTTAATTTATTTTATTTATTGCAATCACATACAAAACCCTGCGTGACAGCCTGTTGGCTTTCTGGTCGCCCGAAGTGGCACGACTAGAAAAAGTGCGACAACGGGTCGTACGGGCGTCGGAGGGCCCGTACGTACGAACGTCCGGACGTACTGCCGGGCTATATTCGTACGACCGTATACACAGGTAGCCGAACTCACATTTTGTAAAAACCAATGAGGGGATAAGACCACGATGACCGCCGTAACCGGAAAGGTTGAAACCCTTTTCATGAACAATAAAAGAAAACGCTGACCTTAAGGAGGAGCGGGAACCCTCTCTGGCCAAGACATACCGCCGGGGATCCTGCGTATCCTGTAAGGCGTACTAGAATGCTCTAGTGAGCCTATCAGAGCAGGAAGTGGAGTACTACCCTCTAGTCTGATAGGAGAGCGGACCAATTACGATTTTTTTCGAGAAACAAGCAAATGGCAAAAAGGGGAAAGGCTACGTCTTTGCATAAGGCACACCAAAGAGACTATGACCTATGGCACCTAAAAATCCCGAGCGGCCTGTGTCCCGGAAAAATCTTTTGGCTTATGCAGATCTAGGCAAAATGAAGACGAAGGATGAGACAGGCAATCGTAGAAGTGAGGGAGGACCACACATAGGAGGCAGCGCTGTACAAAGCGAAGAGGGCCAGAAGGACAGAGAATCGACAAATCCGGATGGGACCAAGGGGAACAGTTAAGAGATCTCCTCAGAAGAAAGTTCGGGAAAAGCCGGGGGAAGCAAATAAGGGACCCAGGAAACCAGGGAAGGTAGAAATAAAGAGAGATCGAGCCCACAAAATTCAGACGGAGTTGTATCAAAGAAGGTACGGACACAAGGCGCAAGCTAGCAGAGATAGAAAAGAGAATCGCGGAGCACAAGGCAAGATTGATCGAGGAAATGATAATCGAAAATGAGGAAGACCTTCCGAGGGAATGACTATGTGACGAACGGAAGGCCAGAGGCGGAATCGGGCAGGGGGATAAGGATAGTGATCGCGGAGGAACACCTAGCAAGAGAAGGGAAGAGAGGGAGAACTCCCCTGGAATAGAAGCGGAAAAAACTACAAATCCGCCAGCCATAGACAGCAGGGCTAGCCGTCTGCCAGTCGCGCCGATAGTTATGCGGGGGTGCGAGGGACTCTGGAGCCTTAGGGAAAGGGTATTGGGATGGTTTGATCCGGAGGGGATTGCGAAAACCGGAGAGGGACGAAGGGCCGGCAAGGAGGGTCAGGAACTAGTACAGCCGACGATGCCAGCAGCTCCGAGGGTGGCCTCAAGAAGATGGTGTCGTCCCTCACCCGAGCACTAAACAAGAGCCAAGGGTACCTCGCAGACGCTAAAAAGAAGTTGACGTTTGACGGGGCAAATATCACGGAGTTCCTAATAGACTACGAAAACCTGATTGTGTTACTAAAATGGAGTGAAGAGGAAAAAATGGATCACCCAGGACAACATGTGTCGCTGAGACTAGGGCGAGACATAATGGCTATCGTTGCCGCGAGCAGGTCTTGGAAGGAAACCCGGGATGTGATGGTGAGGAAGTATCTGGCAGCAGCAAAGATGGTAACAGAAGCCGAATTAGCGGCAGTACAAAGGAAGAACTTTGCCACGTACAATGACTTCCTGAGAGAATTTACCTTGGTGGCGCTAAAGAACCCCGGGGTAACGGACCAAATAATGAGCAAGTATTTCCTCAGGCAGTTTTCTGAGTTCGATAAGGACGAAATTTTGTCAGCTTACCAGGAGACGAGCAAATTCGTGAACACGAGGGACGTTCACTTCAGTACGGTAACAGACCTTGCTGAGAAAACAGTAGTGACCGAGTAATTGGCCTTGCTTAAGGAAAAAGAAGTTATAGATCTGACCGGCAAGACGGTGGATAAGGTGAAAAGAGGGATAGAAAGCCTACACGAACGCGTGCACAGAGTCGACAATAAGATAGACAGGGTGGAGAACGCACTAATGGTAATGCAGACACAAGTATCCCGACCCTCCCTCCCTCCCCAAGAAGCCGTGGTCCCAGCAAGAGTGGCCAACAGGGGGTTCAATAGGAGAGATCCCGCCAATGAGCATTGCAGATACTGCACAACGGTTGGACACTTTGTGTGAGCTTGCCCAAAGCTCAACTACGATATCATGAGAAAGAGATGCACCAGGTCACTAAAAGAGGAAATATTTGGGCCTCGGGGGGAGCGAGCAAATTGGAACTCGCCTGGAGGAATGCAGCGTGCCGTGATCATCCTCAATGACCTAGAAATAGCAGCAGTAGAAGCCGAGCCGGTAGCTGATATCGTCTGGGACCAACCCCCAGGGCGCGGGGCACAACTTAACTGTATCATAGAAAGTGACGGACGCGATAGGGTGAACGCGACTACTCGACTGGGAACGGCAGGAAGAAGAGTTATCTGTGATACAATGATGGAGGAGGTTGCGGGAAGCACCGCGGTCCAAGCAGAGCCTGAAATCGCAGAACCGGAGAAAGTTTATGAAAAGCCTAGGGAAGAGGAACCTATGGACAAAGTCACCACTACAAAAGAAAAGTTCAGGTATCAAATCCCGATCCTAACCACGTCGGAGATCGACGACACTCTTAGCAAGTTGCTAGGAATCATGGTATCAGTATCTTTTCAGACCATGTTGCAAGCAAGCCCCAGACTGCTCAAAGGGCTTAGACAACTATTGACTCGCCAACGAGTGGAGGTAGACGAAAATCCAGAATCACAGGAAGAGGAAAAGGAGGAGGAGACTCCGCAAGAAGTCGCTAACCTTCAAAGGATCCCTGGAGACTTGGAGGATCTGGAAAAGGTTTTCGCAGACATCCGCTTGAGCTTACTGGATCGTGAAGGCGGGGAAGTCATGAGAGCGCCTCCCGGAACGAAGCTTAGTTTCCACGCGCTGCCCATAGGGAAGCTAAAAGTGCAGATCGGGACTCATCACACAAACGCTCTAGTAGATGGAGGTGCGAAAATCACACTTATAAGGAGAGATTTCGCAACATGTACCGGCTGTGTAGTTAACATGGAGGTAATATGAAGCATCCGAGGAGCCGGTGGCAAGATCCTGTTTTCAGGATAGGTCACCAAATGTGCAGTCAAGGCGGGCGTCCGAGAGTCAATCTGGTCATTTCAGCGGATGACCGTATTAGACGAAATGGACCACGACATAATCCTTGGAAGACCGTGGTGTGCCAATGTAGAAATGATAGGGATACATCTGCATGACGCGGCATACATGGTAGACTTGGAGGACTCGGTAACTGGCCGTGGGGAGCTCCTCCGACTCATTGGGTCCGAAGGAGACCCTCCTAAGGGAAAACTGGCGACGTGGTCACCTTCGTTCGAAGATAGCGCTCGAAAGAGGGCTTTCGCTCGAATGGAGGGAATGAAAGAGAGGGTGGAAATCATGATTAAGGAGACATTCAGTAAGAAATAATGGATTAAGATGGGTTTGCCTGAGAAGAAAAGGAGGCAGGAGGACGAGGCCTTAGGGGTCATGGTAGCGGAAAAGGAATCGGAGGTTGAAATCGGGGCCAGTCTGCCCAAGCTGAAAGAAGAGCAAAATGTGGTATCAGAAGTAGCGCTCGAAATCCCCGATTTGCTACAACTCATCAAAGTTATCATATATCACAAAGTAGGGGTGGACTCGACAACGCTTACTAAATTCGAAGGGCTACTATTTGAATGGAAAAGTAATCAGTATTCAACCTCGGGTCACGGAGACAACAGGGGCGACCCCGACCATTCATTTTTTAGGAGAAAGATCCCGTAAGGAAGTGCTCGAAAGTACAAACCAGTAGGGAAGAAAGCTAAGTCAGTCTCAATCCTACTCGAGACATCCAAGGAGGAGGCTATGGAAAAGGAAGAAGAGGTTCTTCGAGTACCGAGAAAGACGAGTGACGGAAGGGCATTGGATACCGGATGAGGTGGTCAACACCATGAAAATAGGAATAGACGGGCTTTTAACGGAGGAAGAAACTCTTCTGATCAAAAGGACGTGCCAGGAATTTCATCTGGCATTCGCCTTTAATGACCATCAGAAAGGGCGGCTAGATGAAAAGTTAATCTCTCCCGTTAGGATCCACACGGTAGAGCAAGAGTGTTGGAACGACAAAGGGTCAGCCTACGAGTTCGGGATAGCGGGGAAGTAACGGACCTACTCAGAGCAAAAATGGACTCCTTCGTCGCAGAGTCTACTGCGTCTCCGTATGCGAACAGGTGGTTCCTCTTTCGAAAGCCCAACAAGACGCTGAGGTGGATTCAAGACGGGACATCAAAGACTTACTCTGGCGCTTCCTAGTATACAATATCACTGCTAGCGGACCAAAGAGTATTCTGGCAGTTCCGGAGGTGACCATACTGGGATTCCACTGTGGAGCATATGGAAGGAAGCCAGACCCGACAAAAACCGATAAGATATCTCAATGGCCAACGCCCCTGTGCACGACAACGAAGGTAAGAGCATTCTTAGGAGTAGTCGGTCTTTGGAGGATATTTATTAAAAATTTTGCCAAAATTGTCTAGCCTATCCGCGTCATGATCAGAGAGGAAGGAACCATGGATTGGGCTGTGGAGCGAGAGGCAGCCGTCCAAACCCTCAAGGACATACTGACATCGGAACAAGTCACATTGGCAGCGCCCTGTTTTAACAATGAAGTTGGACGACCGTTTATCCTTGAGAGGGACGGGGGACTCTTGGCCGTATGGGGCGTTCTGATACAGAAAGACGAGGAAGGGAAAGAAAGGACGATTAGGTTCGAAAGTAGAACCCTGAACTCTGCGGAACGACGATACTCCTAGATCAAAAAGAGATCGTAGTCGTTCTACATTGCCTCAAGACCTTCCAAGCCTACCTATTCGGGAGGCGTTTTATCCTAAGGATCGATCCGATTAATGTCGCAGAGGCTTTAAAAAATTACAAGCCTATAGATCCGACTGTTGGGAGATGGGTAGGCTTCATCTGGCAGTTCGATTACAAAATCGAACGAATTGTTGGACTCATGAACAAGGCCGATGAGCTAAGTCAGGTGTGCATCACACCCGAAGGGGTGGAGGATGTGGAACCCATCGACGCTTTCCTTGAATACAAAGGAGGAACCCTTACGGTGGATAACGAAGTGATGAGCGAAGTATGCGCGTCAGGGGAATTGTTGACTCAGACCTTGAAAAAATGGGCACCTGCCGTAGTTGCGGAGCTTAGGGAAGGACAAGTCACCACATAAGGACGCAAAGAGGAGAAGGATTTGTGGGAGCGATAGTGAGTCCGAGGGAGGAATTGATAGCGATGACTGTTGAGGGAGGTCGGGAAGCCGTAATGAGCCTAATAGAGTCTTGGGAACAAAAAGAGTTGCAGCTATTGGTGAACCAGATGCAGGAGAGGCAGGGTGAGGATCAGAAAGGAAATAAGATTTTTTATGTTCAGATGTATGAAGGGGTTTTTCGAGAAATTGGATTGATGTTGGTAGGGAACAAGCAGGCCATGGAGGTCAGCTTCAAAGCAAGGGAGAATGCCGAAAGATAAGTCCTAAGGAATGACCATCTGTTCAAAAGGGAGGAAGGCGTTATGCCTAGGAGAGTCAAATGTGGGAGGTCTAGGCAGCTGAACGTAATCCAGGCAATGCACGACAGACTAGCTGGGGGACATCGATCGTCCAAAGGGACCCTTGCAAAGATAGCACTTCTCTACTATTGGCTAGGCATGGCAAGTATGGTGGCCACCTACTGTCGGACCTGTCTAATCTGCCAGGAGCGGAGCTTGGTCCGTGTTTTCGAGCCACTTAGACCAACACGGGTGCTAGGGTCAGGGCATCTGGTCCATCTCGACCTTGCGGTCATGCATGTGTAAGCAGATGGATACATGTATATTCTAGATGCTAGGGACAACTTGAGTGGGTTTGTGAAAGCAGTCGCCCTAAAAAAAAAGACGGGAAAAAAGGTAACGGATTGGATAGAGGATTTCTACCTAAGGCATCCCTTCATCAGAAGATTCATAGCAGATAACGAAACTGAGTTCGTGAATCAAGAGGTGCTAGGTATGCTTAAGAGGATCTGCGTACCTATCAAGCTCATCGAGCCATACCACCCCGAGGCTAATACGCCTGTGGAAAGAGGGCACCAGACCTTAAAGAACACAATTACAAAGCTCGCGACAAACGATCTTGGGAGTTAGTTGGGATACCTTAAGCAAACTGTCTTTTCAGAGAACATGACGCCAAAAAGGACAACGGGATGTATCCCAACAGAACTATGGCATGGAAGAGAGATCGATTTCCCCGTCGAGGCCTTGATACCCACATGGAACAGGCTAGACGACGATCCGCACATGACTATGGAGGAGCTGATTGAGGCACGATGTCAGCAGGTCCTTCGAAACGAGGAGGTCATGGAGGACATTGTGAACCGGGTACTGGACAACAGGATGAGGGACAAAGCAAGATGGGACCATGTTAAGAATATCCGGAAGGAGACACTTCAGATGAGGGAATTGTACTGGTTAGGAACTCGACACTGGAAAGCAAGTGGTCTGGACAGTTGGGAAGGAGGTTCAAAGGCTGCTACCGGGTCGCTAAGCGTGTGGGACTGAACACCTTCGAATTGGAAGATTTGGATGAAACTGAATTGAAAGGACCCTTCCCAGGGCAACGACTGGTCAGGTTTCTAAGTCGGGATCCAGTGGAACAATGGCTTCAGGAGGCCCATGATAAGGAAACTAAGGAGTCTACAAACTGAGAGTTGGCAGCAGCCTTGCCCATACTATGTTTTGTCTCTGACTACGTCTGTGGGGCTTTCTTTTTTTTCGGGAGGGGGTAATGGCTTAGGCTGATTGACAATGGGCGTGGGGTGCCTTGGGACCTTTGTGCCATGTTTTTTTTTGTGTGTGTAAGGGGTGGATGGTGTCAGGAAAGGATACCTGAAGCATTGTATCATAATTTGGTGGGGAAATGATGGGGTCGTTGCAACTGTGGCATCTGTATAGGGGGGGGTGCGATGCGTAATATGTTTTTGTATGAGGGGTATGGGGAGCAGTCTTGGGAAGTATCTTCTACCAAATTGAGGGAGTGTGTGTATGAGGGGCCGGTGGGTTTGTTTTGTTATGTATAACAGGATCGGGGAGGAAATTCTAGAAGCAAAAATGAAATTCGGCAATGAAAATGACAGCAATTGGATCAACAGGTCCAGCGAGAGAGAAGGAACGAGACCAAGTGGGGAGCAGATACCTAAAAAGAGGAAACTGTATGTGGGATATCTGTCCAAACAAGTATTGCGCAGAGGAGCGAGAAAACTCGTATGCAGAGGACCCTCGCCTATCAAAAAAGGGGAAGGGATATATATCTCATCAGGGAGTGAGAGCAAGGAAGAGAGAATGAGCGTGGAAGAAAGGGATGTATGGGGAAGACAAAGGGGTCAGAACCTCGTCGGCCAGGGGGCCGAAGACTGTAAATAGCATGAGCAACGGTACGAGGAGGACGAAAAGAGGCAAGGTACGAATAACGGTTGTGAAAAGGGGGAGGAAGAAAGAGAGAGCCTGCATAACGAGCGAAGCGGCCACGATAGTTGTGAGAGGGGATACATGGACGTTGGGGAAGAATACGAAAAGAGGGCGGACATTCCTTATAACTTGGACCCTGAAAACCTTAGGGGTGAGTTCAGCCCCGTACGAAGGGAAGAGGATGAGGACGAGGATGAAAGAGTGCAGGAGGTCATTGAGATCAGCAGCGGTGATGAAACGGATGAGATCTCAAGGCCTAGAGAAGAAGGGCGACCCTCCGCAAGAATCCTTCAGATGGGAAGATGAGTTTGGACCAACACCCAGTCATTGGTTTGAGCAATGGGTTAGCGTGATCAGACATGATTGGATCATCAAGGCCAAAAAACTGATAAAGGTCGGAGTGACAGCCACGCCCTTGGACTTTTACAATAAAGAGGAGTTGCAAGAAATCGCGAGAAGAAAGAGGAAAATCTTGGCCTCCGGCCTGGGAACCAAGGGGTCAACAGAGAGAGGGAATGAAAGGAGGACCAAGCAGTATAGGACAGATGACAATGAGAGAGACTAGACGCTATGAGCATTGAACAAAAGTTGTGTTTTTTTTT